ATACAACAAATGACTGTTTTTCAGGTTTCCTGTCTGCTGTTGGAGACAGGATTGCTGGGTCAAAATAAACATTGATCCGAGCCAGTACAGCTGTCTTAGGGTCTGTAGTCCTCCCGTTCTGCCTCTTTACAGGAGGTACCTGTGTGTTTTTTCAACTGTGCGCTTTGCTTGGGATTTGATTTCTTTCAAAAAGATTATGAAGAAGGTGTAGAAATGTATTGCTGCTTTGGGCATGTAGAAATTTAGGCCCTTGGAGTTTTTACCCTTTGAGATATTGTACTGCAAGCAGCCACTAAATGCTTCTGCTATTTTTACATATGTGCTTCTGAAAATGAGATCAAACATTGACCATTGATTGACAAATTTGCACTGACTTGAGTGAAACTAAGGATTCACTTCACTTCAGCCTGTTAGTTCCAAGTGCTGCAGTGACTGGTGTTTATTTAGAGCTCTTTTTTTTTTCTAAACTATTTGAACTGTTGTCACTGCATTTATGGGAAGGTGGGATATGGTAAAATACCTTTTTTAAAGAAAAAAAAACTGTTCAACTGTTCCTAAACAAACCTGACCCATTCACCCTTGTGCCAACCTGCAGTGTCTACAGCGGGTCTGTTAATAAAAGATCAGCAGAAAGGGGTGTGATCGTTTTATTAAACTGTGTCTAACTTGAACAGCATTACAGCACATAGAGGAGGTGCCGTGCTCTTAGTTTGGAATCTCATTTGTAAACACCAGTGTTCAGTTTGTCAGGTCAGTATATTTTTTTATATAATAATTTGATACCCGCACTAAGTGTGTAGTGAGTATAACTACCTGTTACTGGCATTGTGCACTGTGAAGCTATTCTTTTAATTAAGAAAAGCCTCAGATGGACCTCTTTAAGATGGACCTCTGCAGTTTTTTTTAAGATGAAACAGGCTCTGTCAATAGGATCTCTATAACATGTACCCTAAGTAATCACTGCTGAATAACAAAGTCTTAGTTGTTGCCAAACAAACAGTTGAGAAACTGGTGTAATAACTGCTTCTTTGGGTACAGATTGAAGAAGTCCGAGAGGTAATGGAGAGTGAAATGAGGACGCAGCTCCGGCGGCAGGCTGCTGCCCACACGGATCATCTTAGAGATGTTCTTAAGATCCAGGAACAGGAACTGAAAGTGGAATTTGAGCAGGTAAGAAAGAGAGGAAAGTGCCTCAATTAATTAGGTGGTGATTTCGTTAACTGCTTCTGTGGGACCCTTGCAAAACATGCACCTCACAGGACAAGAGTGCCAAAGCATCTTCCAGAACACTGAAGTGTAGGCAGGGAATGAAGCCTGCTCTTCTGGAAGAGAAATGGTATAGTACTTGATCCTGTGGGCTTTATTCTGACTTCTCCTAAAAGCTTTTGCTGTAGGTGAAGAGTTTTTGATAACTATAAAAGCAATAACTGTTAAATTCACCCCTAATAGGAGCTCTTATGGGTATACTGCATTTACTGTATGCATTGTCCCTGACAGAAATACCTAATTTATAAAGATACGTTAACATAGTTAAATAACGTTACTGTTCTATCACTCTGTTTCAGAACTTATCAGAAAAACTCTGCGAACAAGAAATGCAATTCAGACGCCTTACTCAGGAACAACTCGACAACTTCACGTTGGATATAAACACTGCCTATGCCAGACTGAAAGGAATTGAGCAAGCAGTTGAGAGTGAGCACTGAAACCGCATCTCTTTCTTTACGGACTACAGTCAAGATCCCCAAAGGCCTGTTACCAAAACTGAGTGCCTAAGCACAGGATTAGGCATGTAGCCAGCAGGTCTAGCTTTGCTGCTGTGCTGAGCGCCTAACCAGTCACAGCTGTGGAAGTCCAAAGCTGTCTTGCTGGTTTTCTTATATACAGGGAGTAGCCGACACTGAATTGTGGATCAGGCTTGCTTTGACCACAGATGCTAAGGGTGCTGCTTTTGAAAATAAACTGCTTGGGGGGGAGGGAGGGGTGACTTTTGCTGCTTATGTTCAAGCACGTAAATGTTTAGTACTTCGCCTCTACGTATGCCCCAAAACCCAGTCCTCTTGGCTTATTTTGCAGGTCACGCCATTGCAGAAGAGGAAGCCAGAAAGGCCCACCAGCTGTGGCTTTCAGTTGAAGCCCTGAAATACTGCATGAAAACAGCCTCTGGGGATAGTCCCACAGAACCACTGGAGAGCGCGGTGAAGGCCATCAAAGCCAGTTGTTCTGACAACGCGTTTACAGAAGCCTTAACGGCCGCTCTCCCTCAAGAGTCTCTGACGCGGGGCGTATACAGCGAGGAGGCCCTCAGAGCACGTTTCTATGTAGTCCAAAAACTGGCAAAAAGAGTGGCTATGATTGATGAAACAAGAAACAGCTTGTATCAATACTTCCTGTCATACCTGCAGTCACTTCTTGTGTTTCACCCTCAGCAGCTGAAGCCACCTGCTGAGCTCAGCCCTGATGACCTGGATACGTTTAAGTTACTGTCTTATGCGTCCTATTGCATTGAACATGGAGATCTGGAGCTGGCAGCTAAATTTGTCAACCAGTTAAAAGGAGAGTCTAGGAGAGTGGCACACGATTGGCTGACTGAGGCTCGAATGACCCTAGAAACCAAACAAATTGTGGATATCCTGACAGCATATGCCAGTGCTGTGGGGTTAGGAACAACTCAAGTGCAGTGAGCTAGGAATATAGCTTTGGAAGCAGTTCAGGAATGGGTTGTGCTGGAAAGAAATCCAACAGTCTAAGGGTTGCAAACGAAGCAGTTGGCATGGGCTGGAAGCGTCAAATCAAAGCACGGGTACTGTCTTGTTTCCTTGCACTGTATTTAACTTCACCTCCTGCTCCATTTGTATTGGTTTTGAGTTATCATGACAACCAACTTCAGAAAGCTTCTCTACAATTTCTGTAACAATTTTGTTGCCCCATCTTACCGTGAGGGCTTGTGATCCAACTAAAATAATGTTTGTAACCTACCTGTAATGATTTGCCACTTTGTCAGCTGAATAAAACAAGATTTCAACCACGTTCTCCTGATGCTCAGTCTCCTATTCAAAATCAACTATGGAAGACAACCGGTAATATTACAACAACCTTTCTCAGTGACCCGAGGAACACTAAACTATCTCTATACTCGTCCTATTTAAAGGAGTAAGAATTCATTAGTGTGGCAAAGGGGCTATTCATTAATTTGTACAGCTGTGAAACAGCCACGTATGCGTACAGGTTTCAGGAGGCAAAAAACTAGTGTCAGAGCAACACCTTTTGCTGGGTTTAACAAAAACTCAAGTACTCATTTCAGCAGTAGTGTACTAACCGGTGCCTTGGTCTACCCGCTGTTAAGTATCTAGCGATACGCCAGTTTTAAACTGTTGGTACAGGAAAGCAAGGAGCATAAGCTAGTCTGTGGGGAAAAGAAAGGACTAGAGCATGCATTGTTTGTTCTTTTTTTTTTTTTTTTTAACCCTAAACCTGCAGGAATCGCACGTTTGCTGCAACAGGCACATTTACTTGCTGGAGCAAACAGTGCCTTCAAACCAGCAAGTCCCTAGTTTAAGGTGAGGACCACTTTACTTTTAGCCTTTAAGCCGCAGCTGGTTCAACCTGCAGGAGCTGCTGTTTCCCAAGCTCCTGACTCAATTAGCCTCTGCTGCTTCCCACAGTAGTGAGCGCTCACTTGCTGTGCTGCAGCATTATGCACAGCAAGGTGGTGTTTTCCACAAATGGCAGCAGATTAAAAGACTCATACGCATGGAGATAAAGCAGTGAACTCCCTCCACTGGAATCGGGTTTAATCCACAGCTGAAGGAACACAACTTTCAGCTAAAAACTACCTCAAAAAAAAAAAAAACCCTTTAAGAGTCTTTGATGAGCTTATCACAGAGCTAGAAGAGTGCTGTAAGGGCTAGTTAACTGCAAGGCAGAGAAAGGACCAGTACAGGCATGTCTTCCTCAAGTCCCCTCAGTACATTTATTGGTGCATTCTGCATGAACTTCAGCAGCAAGACTTTCTATAATCAACAGTTTAGCTAAGAGATTATTAGCTGTATTTTAATGTCAGACATTTACAGCAGTCTTCAGCTGCAGAGAGACTAACAATAAATTACTTCTATCACAGCTTTAACCTCTACAGGCCAAAGGCCATTCCAGAACACCCAGAAGGTGGTGTAGGTTCTATAGGTCCACCAAGGAGGAACACCACAGGTGATTAATATTACGTTTCTTGCAGTGTTTAGGTACAGAGTAAGCTTTAAGTAGTTCATGAAAGCTTGACAGCAGGAAAGGAATTCAATCCCGAGCAGGTGTAAGCCACAGGAAGTGTGATCTTGCCTAAGTTGTCAAAGCACTTGCACCTGCTGAGCAGCCTCCAGAAAGCAGCATTCTGCACAGGAGCTCCCCAGGCCTTCAGCCACGCTGCTCAAACAGGCCTCAGCTGCTCAGCAGCAGCTATTTCTTGCAGGCAGTGATTCAGAAGATACCGCACTGGTGCATCCCACATTTGTGTTCAAGGTTTTTCAGGAGGTTAAACAAGATGGCTCCCAGCTTGCTCTGATGAGGAGAACATACTCTTGCCAAGTAGTTCCCGTATCACAATGGTGTGAAGTGCTGTAACACAGGTAGGAAATAGAGAGTCGCAGCACCTCTCCAAAGCGGTCGATTCTGTAATTTCACTTCACAAAGAAGCATCCTGGAGTCAAAGCAGTGGTCACTCCCAATTTTCCCAAAGGGAAGGCAGGAGGGGCAGCTAATCATGGTCACTATCGCTGTCGCTGTCACTATCACTGCTGTCGCTATCCAACTGGATCCTCTCCAATACCTTCCTGTAGATGTAAAACAATTCAGTCAAGATCAGTGACCTGTTGTAACCTTTTGCTTGAAACAAGCTACCCAAAACACAGGGCAGACTTCTCCAGAGAGAACCTTAGGGGCTGTCTGATGCCTACCATTCTTGAAAGACCGGTTCCCCCAGCATTTGGTAGGAGTACCACCATCTCCTTTCCAAAAAACAGTACTGCAGTTGCCCAGAAATTGGTGGGCTGTCAAGATGGCTGGAACGTCTATTTATTCATTCCCTTGGATCAGACCAGTGGCTCCCAAACTATGGTCCCTTGAGGCTAGGGCCCGTGGTCTGAGCTTGACTGCATCAGCTCAGCAACAAACTGACTGGCCCGATGCACTGAGGGCTGACTGTGATCCTCAGAACCTGCAAACCATCCTACACCACTTCCCTGCTTTTCCTAGCCTGAAACGCACGCTATCTTTTAAGTAGCCAAACGCAGGTAGCAAAAGATTCTGGGAAAGGTGGTGTCAGAATCCGAGGGCTGGATATAACTAAAGCCAACAAGGAAGGCTACCTTCCCTCCCAGGTGGGATGGATACAGTGTGGGATCAAACACTGAGGGGTGTTCTGCAAGCCAAGTGAACCAGAGTGATTGTCACCACAGAAGTGCACCCTTTTGAAAGCAAATTTTGTCCTTGGCAGAAAAGCCGTAGCGAAGGAACTATCATTCGACACCCTGTATGCAATAACCCTTCAAGCAGTACCATTAAGTACTCCAACTTACTTCTGCTTTTCAGAGAGTTCAAATTCCTGCTCTGTTCTGCTTTTAAGCTTCAGAGTTGAAGGAAGACCAAGGGAGGCTGCCAGCTTTACCAGCTTAATCGCCTCATCTGGGCAATTGGTTTGTTTAGCACAGTTCAAGAACTCATCCATCACTTGGTCTCTGCAAGAGAAAAAACAAGCATTACTGTTCCACAGGGCTTACAGCAGGTGCTTCAGAGAGGGAAAAGAGGGGACAGATTTTTCAGAACACTCAGAATCAGCCCAATTCTGCTCCTACCAGAGCTGTTGGGAATTTTACCTCAGCCTTTGCTACAGGCAGGTTTGGGAACTCCTAGTCTAACTAAAAGCAGTACCTCTGCCTCCCTGCACAAAGACAGAGCACTGCTCAGAATAAGGACCTTACCTTTGCAGCGGTCTAAATAACCTTCCCTTCTTTACAGTCTCCACATGAGGCCCTGCCCCTCTTTTATGGGGCTGGCAGAAGTAAAGGAGCAACGTGAGAGCAGCGCCTTTAAATCCAAGGCAAGCGTGTCACTGCCACAGGCTACTGCACTGTCTGGGCAGCGGGAGCTGCTGACAGTTGGCTCTGCTCTGCCAGCTCCATTTCATGTCAAAGTGCCGTGACAGCTGCTGGAGATGCCCGTCTTGCCTTCAGGCAAGGAAACAAGTGTTTACCACAAGGAGCATGGCAGAGAAGGGAAAGCAGGAGACTTTTCAAGCAGAAGAGCCTTCTGATGAGGTAATAGCAGGGAAACTGCTTCCTTTCCCTTCCCATCTGCAACCCGTGGCAGCCACGGACGATTTCAGAAGGAGAATTCTCCTTTCCCTATTCCCCAAACGGACACAGGGGCTCTGACGTGGCTTAGCAGCATCAAGGCTTCCTTGGGCCAAACTAACAGAAGTCTGCAGACAAGGCCAAGCACAAGGTACCAGTAACAGCTGCCTTCGGTACCATACGTCTGACCTGGTAGAGTCAGCCACACAGAACTAACGCATCTTGGCAAAATCCCATCTCCAACACTACATTCAAGGACAACATAAGCATCAAACACTTTGATTTTAGACACATTGCTCTTGCTTAGACTGATTTCTAACACTGAATTAATCAGTGACACTGTTTGTCCATGTCCCAGAGCTTTTTTTAATGACATCTTAAGGATCAACCACTTAAACCATCCTTTGCATCTTCATCATGTTTGGGACGCAGAAAGGTCTCAGAACATTAGCGTCAGCTGATAAACAAAACACCCTCTGCTCACAGGGACAAACGCTTACACGTGCGCACTCGAAGTAACAGTAAGATATGGACGACTTATTGTTTACTCAGTACGTGAAGTCAGAACTTGAATGTACTCACGTGGGGATCCTATTGATTTGCTGGAAATGCTCCATCATGTTCCTGTTCAAAAGGAGAAAAAAAGAGGCAGGTATTAAATCTCTTGAATAAACCCCTGTTGCATCACTGACAAGCTCTATTTAATGAGATGATCTTCCCACAGATTTGGAACAGATCCCTTGCCATTCAGTTTCTCACAGATGCAGCATACATCAGTTAAGATAGTGTTACGCTATTCAGTAATATCTACTGCAGAAAGATTAAAAAGTGATAAGTCTAATTTAAAATCTCACATGTTTTTAGGGAGGTACTTGCCACTTCTTCGTTCCAAATGAATCAGTGCCAAGAGATTATCTGTATTTAATGGAAAATGGCTCACAACCCTAAATTGGTGGCTGGGTATTTCAATTAGTATTCCAAACTGAAAGCATGTAGGACAGCAAATTCTAGCTTCTAAATCCTAGAGAGTTCTAAGCACTTTTCTTTATAGCTTCAATTAAACTCTAATTAAAAGTTTAATTAAACGCTAATTTAACTCTTAAGGAGTTCAAATTCTAAAGAGTTCTAAAAATGAGAAATTAGGAAGTTATAGGAAGTCAGCAGTGCTTAAAGTGATAATCAACCTGTGCCTTGCCAAAAGCAGGTGTACGATGCTCTAAGCCAGTTGTTACATTTACTTCTAAACCGTTTTATATGACAGGCAGCTGTAACTTGGTGCCAAGAACGAACAGCACAATTATGAACCCGCCGCCCCCCACCCCCGATGACATTCCCAGAGGGATTTATTCCCTCCTGTTGTCTGCACTAGCATCCCAAACCAATCACTAATTAGCTTTTGATTTTTGTGATCAAGACTTGAATTACGGTGTTAGCAAGACAAGGGCTCATGAAAGCTACACACGTACCAAGCATCCTGCGTTCTCCCAGCCCTGGAGAACAACACGACGACATGGCCCAGAGCACTGCCTGTCCATTCTAACAGGGCCTGGTCCCTCCCGGATTGCTCGTGGACAGCTTTAATGTCTTCAGCACATTTGGCAAATGCGAGCTGAGTCTGTAAAAGATTATGCTATTAATGCCAAAACCTCTGGAAACAAGGTGTCTTTTTCAGTGACATTCCTCCAAAGTCCTCCTACAGCCCCTACAGGTCTAATAAGTGCCACCAGCAGGACCTACACTGGCTCATTTGCGCATGGGTTGGTTAATCATCATCAGCCAAACCAAGAAGGAATACTACCAGCTGATACCTTTGCAGCAGGTTCCTCTTGAGCCTTTGGAATAAGGTAAACTTCTGCCTTTGCACGATTTAAAGTAGTGAATTAACAGCGGTTACCCCTGGCAGAAAAGCCTCTCCCCGTCAGGAGGACAGTCCCCCCTAGGCAGGCTCCAAGACAGCTTTGGTGGGAAAGCTGCATTCGGAGACCTCTGCAGCGTACACAAGCCTTTAACCCTCCTCAGTCTGAAAGCCAGTTACTACAATGACACTTGTGGCAAAATCCCTGAATTTTGCACTCCACATCTAAAGATGTGCTAAGCTCTGGCTGAACAGGAGAGCGGCTGGGCTGGATTCCTTCTCAAATGCCTCATTTGTAAGGAATTCTCTTCTTGTGTGTCTCTACAGATTCTCTTCTTGAAGTGTCTCTATAGAGAGAAGACAATAAAGAGCAGCCCTGCATAAGCTCACACAAGCTTGCTTATCTGTATCGGTATACGCACACCAACTGGTAGAACACTGGTTCTTGTACTGGTAGAAGAGTGACCAGGGACAACAACACGGCACCTAAACACTGTGTGTATGCCATACTCAGAAATGCAGGGAGATATCTCTACTCTCTTCTCGCTGGGCCTCCGTACCTCTTCAGGGTGCTGCTCCCTGCTCATCAAAGACAAGAGCTCCTCCAGCAGATCTTGTTTCCTATTAAATCCCAACTGTTTGATATCTGCTTAGAGAAAGACAGCAGTTAGCAGGGTATTTTCTGCACTCTAAAGCCTTTAGCTGCATTCTTGTCTCCCCTTCTGAAGGTGCAAAAAGTAGGCAACTAACTTAAATGAGTTAAACCTGGGCTGCGGATGAAGGTACTACTCTCCGTGAAGCACTCAGTTTTCCAAGAGATAAATATTGATATTTAACTATGTCACAGCCGTGATCTCTCTAATAGTCTATACCACCAACGAAAAAGGCAGTTCTGCCTTTCTCTAGTACCGTAGCTCCACCACTGCACTACAGAATAATGTTCCTCATGCCAAAACATCTTATCACGGTGATTCTGGGGTGGCACTGGGAAGCCGCCAGTGGCAGGGTTACATTTTGAAGCCGGGAGCACAGTTACCTATGTTGTCTCAGGTCCAATGACAAGCATTGCTTCCACCTCCCTCCAACTTCACATTCATCATGACTTTTGCCTCGGTAGCCACGGGGCTCTCACTAACCTTCCCAAACTGAAGGGATCACTTCCAAGTGGTTGGCTGCATCCAGTGCTTGAAGGAGGTCAAACATATTTCTAGGACTTGGATAGAAGAGCTGACGAAGGAAGACAGTGACTTTAGTCTACTACGACTGTACTGCTTCTCCATACTAAAGCTTCAAAGCTTGCTTACACTAAGACACTCTTACCGAAGGGGTCATTTCTTTGTACCATTTCAAGACGACATCAATTTGTTCCATCATACACAGCAACGAAAAGAATTTTGACCTACAGGAGGGCAAAAAGTACGAATTAGTAACAATTAGGTCAGCTGAACCATACAGAAGCACCAGCAAATCACGGTGTTCTGATCAGGTTTGTTTTGCAGGCCATGAAAATCTCACTGTACAATTGTAATACCCAATACAATTTAAAAAGCAGCAGTATTTTGGATGAAAGAACTTACTGCTGACACTAGGTAACCGGCAGGATTAGTTAAAAGTAGGCCACCGCATTTTTTTTTATACTTTCTACAAAACACAATCTCTCTGCCTGACACCAGCTTTGAGGTATCTGAAACACAACTGAAGGTTAAGAAAGAAGTGAAGTGAACTGAATTAACCTGGTTACTCGCACAAGTTCACAATACAAGCTTGGGACCTTGAGACAATGAATGGAATAGGAAAAATAATTTCTCTGTACCAAGACATTAATTGCCCTCGATTTATTTACATTCAAGATGAAGTCAGAGCATATGAATCACCCCACCTCAAACTGCCCCGTATTTTAATGATACTATTTTTCCATGAAGTTATCAGAGCACCTCTAGTTCCATCACTCTAATAGGCTTTTCTTCAAGTCAGGTTAGTACCAGTCCAAGCACTTTATGCTCTGCGACTGCAGTATTTAATAACGTTGGCAAAGATGCTTCAGATGGCTTGATTATATTGTCAAATGGTGGAATTACTTGGAGTCTGGAGCCTGCATACACCTGTTGTCCTGCAAGCTAGTCTCTACAACACCATGCAGACAGCCAAGTTAGGAGATAACACTAAGTGGACAACAGGAATGTGGAAAACAACCGGCTGGATGAGCATTACGCTAGACTGAGGCAGTGAATGGGCTGGGTTACAGACTTCTGTTCCTTCCCTGCTCTCTTGGCAGCAGGGAAACACCTTCCTACGATGCAAGAGGGGCCTCTAAAGAGGCCTAACTTTAAATACTGAGTTTGATGATCATTTATGATGTTTTACACACTCAGCCTTCTGACGATTATGAACTTCAACTAACTTCATATACTCCGAGACACTTCATTTCAGGTTGCGAAAGGTCAAAAACTAAAAATAATCCCAGGCTACCACTATTCTTCAGAAACTTGGTCATTTAATTCCTAAGTTGCACCTACAAAAGCTAGCTGATGTTCAACAAAGCATCCTACCACACAATGTTCACATCCTAGTTTGTATTCAAACTGACAGCAATACACAGACACTGAATGTAAGCTGCACTTCACTTACCAGTAGGCGTTTAACCGATCCATGTCTAAGAACTTCCAGTTGTCTCCCTTCTCCATTAACTTATTTAACCTATAGGCAAGCTTGATATCCTTAAGATCGCAGCACTGGAATAAACCATTCAGATCGTAAAGCTACCAAATATAACACTTAATACATCCTTTTTAGACTCAGCTTCACAAACACATGAAGAATAGTCAGCTGAAAGCAAACGGTTTTAACAACAGAGTGCAATTCAGTGCAACGACTGACTAAGCATTTTCTTTAGTTGAGACAAAAACGTGTGATTGTCCCAATGGGCAAAATTAAGAGCTGCCCTCTACCCTCAACAGACAGCCTCAGCAACAGAGAGAATCAGACAGTTGCAGCGTGACTGGCAAGCAGGCATGAAAGACAGGAACTTGTGCAGTTGTCTGAGATGCACACATTACAGGCACTCAGGTTAGCAGTTTAGCAGGTATCAAGGAAAGAACAGCAGACCAAGGGAGACAAGTTAGAGAAGGTGACCAAGGCAGGTGAAATAGGAAAAGATACTGAGAGCTGAACTTTCTGTGACAGGTTGAAAAACTCCCAGGCAATTCCAAAACACATGGAGGACTCAAAGGAATAATTTATTCTGATTGCAGGCAAAGGGAACTTACCGCTTGCATAGCAGTGGCAAAAAAGTTGGCTGAAAGGGAACAAATAGTCTGTTAGCTTCCAGCTTCAAAGACAGCAGCTCATTAATACAGCCTGCCGGGGCAGACAAGACATTTTCAGTTAGAAAGTAGATTTGCAGCTAAGTTGACAATGTAACAGGGATCTCGATTTTTTATTTAGAGAGTTTGGCATGGTATGAGTTTTGCTAGCCAGTGTTCTGGAGGCACTTATATTGCTGTGCTTTTGGAAACAGATTTAAACACATGATCTGTTTGAGTTTAGGCGGTTTTACAAAAGCTACATTCACTTGTTTGACTCAAGGCGGCACTATTTGTTTAAATCGGCAGTGATTTTGCTCCCCTCCTCCATTTATTCTAGTAGAAGAGAACACATGCAACAAAGACAGGTATTCAGACAGGTTACCCACCTCTTCGGTACATCCCGGAGCTGTCCAAGGATGTACAATTGCCCACTGAAACAGATGCCCCCTTCCCATTTCATGAGGCTTTTACTCTAGTCTCCATAACTGACGTTTTCAAAGTTGCAAGGAGACTGACGTTCCCTGACAATGGAACTGGCAAAACAAGCCACAGGGGAGCAGGATGTGCACAAGGTAACTATCCGCTCAGTAGCTCGTTTTATTTGTGCTGCAAAAATATTGGAGATTTGGGGGTTTTTTTTGAAGGAAACCTAATGGCACAGGATGCTATGAGAGACTGAAGCAATGCCTTTTGTAGGTTGCAAAAGGGAGGAAAGACCTGTACGGCAATTTACTTAAAACCTCGAGGCACAATACACCCACCCCTTGAAAGACTTAATTCTTTAGCCTAACGCTTCAGAGCTGGAGAAGACATTATTTTGTCATTCGAGCGTTTAGTGTATACTTCAGCGACAGCCTACAGAATCCTCTGAGCCAAGGAAAGGCCTTGCAGAGAACACAGAGGTTTCTGAAGGCAAGAGTCAGTTCACATAAAGCTAACAACAATACGCTAAGGAAAAAGAAGCCTCAATTTTGTTTAAAGTGTCAAGCTGAATCCAGCAACAGACGTCATCAAGAGCATGAGAAGGACCCCACTTTGAGGGAGAGCAGAGAACGGGTACAAATACATCTTGTCTAGACAAAGCCAATGAGACATGCAGGATATTGAGAAACGACCCCTCCTACAGACCCAAGGTTGATTTGGAATACTGCTTTCCATAAAGTTTCATTGCATGTAATTTTCTGAAAAGGATTAGAATGAACTAGGACAGTAAGTTGCATCATACTGCAATCTAAGCTTGCTCTTCACCAGAAATGCATTATTTCACTGAAGCTAGTAACAAATGCTTTTCCTTAAGCAGCCTTCATGTTTTTTACTGCATAGAACACTCATACACAGGGCCAACACTCATACTTCCCACAAAGAAGCCAACGTGACTATGCATAGCACACCTTGCAGGCACCAGTTCTGTCTCCAAAAATTATCAGAAGGGGCTGATAAACGCAAAACTGCATCGCATTTTTTCTGGCTGGCAGAACTACTTGAAATTCCTTAAGTAACTTTTTCATCCATGCTTAAAAACAAAGCAGGTTGTCAGTACCGTCATCTGGGTCCTGGGGAGTGAAACTTCTCTTTTCAACTTCCTCTAGCACCTCATTGATGATGGCTGATGGGTGAAGATCAACTGCGGGACAAACAGACAAGGAAGATCGTATCTCAGTTGTACTAGGTGCTTCATTTAGTAAAGAACACCAGTCTGCAAACATACTACGGAAATGGAAACAAGCACTGCAGCTAGATGTCAACATTCTCCTTTCTCTGTCCCTGCTTGTGGTGCTCCAACCCAGGTGCCCCTTTATTAGCACTAAAAGCTGCCCTGCTATTGCCAGATCTCTACACCGTAACAGCACAGATTCAGAAACGTTCGAGCATTTTCTAGCTCAGAACCCAAGAGGCCAGGAAGCTTGTCTATTAGGAGGAAGCACTGGAAAAAGCAGTAAGATTTATAAACAGCAAAGTGAGACTCCAGAGCAGCTCTTTGACACGTGTTATAGCATGAGGACGGCAATTATGACGGCTGTGCCTATTCCTCTCCCATACCCACGGATTTCCAGTCAGCAGATTCCCAACATTTGGACTCCCACCTTTCCCCACAACAGTATTTCAAGACAGCTCCAAATCACAGAACTGTTCCCAAAAAGGTAAGACTCTCTCTATGGTTTCTTCCCTGTGAGTGGGGCAGGCTATGAAATCACATGTCGTAGTCAGACCCGTGCAGCAGTCACTTTTCAGTTGTATCAATTTGAGGCCACACATGGAAAGGAAACGGGCTTTCTTTCCAGTTCCACCAGGGGTTAGGAATTTCTGCAGCTTCTTCCTTCACTCAAGTAGAATCAGACAGCACAGGCTGGGATTGCACACATAAGAAGCTGTCTTTAAAGGTACAACTGCTTTCACCAATATCATCTGAGAAACACTTAAAACAGATGTTAAACAGAACAAGTTGACAGGCAAGTTCATATTGCACATACCAGCTCTGTAAAATATATAGAGAAGATGATCATACGTTGCAAGGCTAGGCTCTGAAAAGCAAAAACATTGAAGTTACTTTGAAATACTTTGCTGGGCTTTATGCCTAAGCTCTACTTCATCATCTTCAGCCCCTTCGGTTAGACAAGGAGCGTAATTTACTCCACCATCTCTCTCAGCTTCCACCTACTGCTGGACCAGACCTCACCTAAACACACTATAACTGGGAGAGATGACACCTGAGGGTGGACCATCAGCTGGGATATCATATTGCTACGGGGCAAGCAGCCAGGCTCCTGCACTTTAAATTAACAGCATAAATATGTCATAACTAGTTTTCCTCTCTGCTCGTGAACAGACCTCTAGTATATCAGTATGCACGTTACTAGGACAAAGCACTCTCTACAACGCATTATATAAATTGTGCAGATATTCCCTAACTGCAACGGTCAGCTGACGCCATCGAACAACATCATTTAGATCAACAAAAGCTTTTTCTCTGTACAGATGTAGATATACAGCCCTGAACTCAATCGGTAGCTGGTGAACTGCATCTCCTTGATTCACAGGGAGCTAGCTGACTCAGCTGACTGCTGGGATTATATATTCATGTTATTTGCTATTTCTGCGACAGCAGCACAAGAAGGACCCAGTCGAGAAAAGAGCAAAAGGGGCCAGGACCTACTCCCCCACTGCACACACACCCCTGCCCCTGAGCAGCTACAGGTAATTACAGGTAACGATGTAATAAACAAGCTCTTAACTTAAGACTAAAGAGCCTTAAGAATGCCACAGATTGCAAAGTGGTATCTGTAAAACTTAAAGAGTATTTTTAGCATCAAAATGCTTCATCACTTGACCTAAGTGGCTAAAGGCACCACTATATGATAATTAGTAATCAACACTGAATGAAGATTCTGAAGACTATGACTCAGTTTGAAATTCACTGGCGCCGGTTTCCTGAGCGGCCGCAGCTCAGTTATTACACCTTTCATCCTTCAGCTCTCTTGCAACAGGAGGCAAATAGTAAAGCCAAGCACACAGTGACAAATGCTTTTTTCACAAATCTTACATTTCTTCCCTAGAACTAGGGAACCACTGTGTGGTTTGCTGCCGAACTCTCTTACATCAGCTATTCTGGAACTGGCACTGGAATATAACAACCATTCCGTTTCTCTTACCTATATCAAGTGCATCCATTTCCTTTATTACCGATACAGACACGCTTCTGCCTACGCCACCACATCTTCTCAGAGTCTTCAGTACAGCATTAAAGGTTAGCACATTTGGTTGCACTTCCTGTTGAACCATGTGATTCAGGAAGTCCTTAAACAAACAAAAACATCCCAGACCCTTAGTACTTAGACCGCAGCATTTCCTCAATCTTACCCTTCTCTTCCCCTGCAAGCAAATGACTGTGCCTCATCTGATCATCTAGCAAAGGCAGTACTATCTCACCTTTAATTACGCCAACCAAGAAATGGGACTACGCAATTAAATCATTTCAGCGGATCTTGAAGATCTCTATCTAGAATACCAAGAAGACTTTAAAATTCACTAATTTTCTTCTCTGATATTATCTCACTAGAACTGGAACCTCTACTGTTACCCTAAAATTCCATTTCCATGGCAACATCTTTAATTACAATTCAGAGAAGAGTTGTTATCTAAAAATGTTTTCTTCACCTCCCCACCTAATTTCCCAGTCACGTTCTGCCTGGGCAGTTCTTGGTTCAATGTATTCTTAAAAGGCATAGGATCTTGCACGGGCACGGGTTTTATTTTGCACGTTTTCCACTCTTTCTCAGGGGTTAGTTTGTACGTTTAAACTGGTGTACTTCCTTTGCAGCAGCAGTTATATCAGTACCTTCTAGGAAGCTCTTGCTTTTAGCATCAGTCTTGTAACAGCTGCAAACTTCTACCCTCCTTCCGCCTCCTTACCTTGACTAATTCCCATCTTTCGGTGAACCTCTCCTTCAGATACGGGACTGCTGCAATCAGTGCATTGAAAGTGTGCACATCAGCTGGAAAATTTAAGACAATTCATTTTAATTGATAACTATATTCTGCAGAGAACACTTTGTTCTAACATGGCTCAGTTTCTGGCGAAGTTCTCATGCAAACGTTTTCCAGCGAGCCAGCCACATGCCAACTGCACTGAAATAAGCAGTTTGCATTCAGCTCCCATGATCTAGCTGAGGTCCGTACCCCTGCGCCAATCATCATTGCCATGAAATGAATACGTATGTCCCCAACAACTGGCTTCTGCAACTTAGAAGACCACAAAGCAAAACCAAGAGACGCTTACCCTTGTGCCTTTTATTCAGTAAGTCTGTGTACATGTCATAGGCTTTAGCAGGAGCCCCATGCTGGAAAAAACAAATGAATAAAAACAATGACAATCTCTATATCTTTGTGAGATTTCGCAAGCTGAAAAACGCCTCCCAGACTTGAAGGATAATTTTACCTTCACCATTCCACGGATCATTGTGCAATAGGAGTGCGCGTTCCTCTCTGGCATTATCTTGAATATCCTTTCAGCGTTATTGTTCTCCCTAGAATCAAGAAACAGGTTGAAAGTCAAAGAATTCGGTAAAAGACACCTTTAGGAAAGGAAATCAACCTACTAAACAAAATAATGGGCTATACTCCTAAGGGCTGACGTTCCAATACATTACTCCTGATACACTGAGTGATTCTGTAATCATTTACTAGATTTCCATCACCACTTTAAAAGATTAGCGAATAGAGGTGTATTTACCAAGTAGTATCTGTAAATATGTCAGCTGATTTTGCAAATCCAATGCAAAGAAAAAAAACAATTGTGGAGTAGCATGGAATACTTCCAAGATACAAGCAAGAAGAGTAAGCTTGTTATCTATAGATTTAAAGTTTTCTGTAGAGGGAGGGATCCGCACATCCTCTGGAAAGTTTTTCATTGTAGGTTGCCAAAGAGTCTTGAAACCTGTTTTATAATAACAATGCACGTGCACAGCCTACTGAATACAAGAATATCAGAAGCATTTTCTATACCTCCATCTAAAGTCAGATGAGTTCAAAGATTTTTGCAACTGCCTCTTTGGACTTCTCTGTTCTGAAGCATTCTCCTGAAAAGATTTTTGTGGAAATGAGCTTCTCAGAATTCAAAGTTATGATTCAGCATAAAATGATGTGATTTGCTAATAATAAAGAAGTTCAGTAGCAATTTATATGCCACCAGAGGCGGTTTTGTATGAATTATGTTAAAATGGTTTCTATTCGAATGTTCAGGAAGCAAAAATCAGGTAAGAAAACTGTTCAATGTTAAACACGCTTACATACATACGGTTTATTAAACGTGCTAGCAAGACATTACATGCGCTTGATTTTTTGTGGAGCTAGTGGGAATCACTAGACTAAATCACATGATCTATAAAACTCTTTCC